CCAATTATCCATAGTTGCTGTAACAAAATCTTAGCTTTGATGATAAGTGGAGTAATTAGACCCAAAGGATCATATAAAGATGATGCTAATGACAAAATGTTTCGTTTAGTATGACTTGCTGGTATATTGGTTGATTGAAAAGTGAAGCAAAAATAGTCTTCTTTCGTATTCCATAACATTCCAAGTGGGCATGCCATATCTCTTGCAGTCTCAATATCTGTAAGTTTAACATTTGGTGCAGTGATGTTAACATTGTTACTATTCCACTTTGTTAACGATAAGTTGTAAAAATCCAATATTTCGGTAGTTTCATTTTTGATGGCTTGCAATGTCTCCAAGTCATCTGCTCCTGAGATCATGTCATCGACATAAAAATCCCTTTTTAATATCATTTTACCTGTTTCTTTACGGTAAGGATAGTTATCTGCAATGTAGTGTAAGCACCTAGTTGCAAGAAATTGCGCAGAACTCGTACCATATGTAACAGTATTCAGTTGATAAACTGAAATATTTTGCGATTTATGCTCACGCCACAAAATTAGTTGAAAATTGCGATCACTTCGATGTAGCCAAAATTGTCTATACATTATTGTTATGTCAGCCGTTATTCCATATTGATATAATCGAAATCTTAATAATGTTATTACAAGTTCATTTTGGATTGTAGGGCCCACTACACGTAATTTAGTAGTTGTGCTATCTGGTTTAATTACATAATGATGTGGGATAAAATAGTGGGGAGAATTTAAATCCAAATCCTTAACCATCGACATATGTCCGAGATTTTCATAATCTTGCATAAATTTCACATATTCCAATTTTAACTCAATATTGGAGTCAAGTCTTCTTTCCATAGATAAAAATCTTCTTAATGCATTTTTCTGAGAATTTCCAAAAGTACTTGTGTCGCCTTTGAATGGCAACCTTGTCATAATTCGGCCATCGTTACTGAGAGCTACAGAAAGTTGGTTTCGCATTGCTGTTCTTCTACTGACTATACTGATGGTGGATGAACTGGTTCCTCTATCTGCCACAACCGTTCCAAGTTCGCATTAATTGTATCCAAGCTAACAACACAATGGGATGAAACAATTTTGGAATCTTTAGTAGAACAATATTTTCCTGAAATAATCCAGCCGAACAAAGTTTTTTGTAAAGTCGGTAAATTCTCACCAAGTTTTATTTGGCCTACTGCTAGCAGTGAAAAGAAAGCTTCTGCGCCAAGTAACATATCAATTTTTTGGCGTTTAGAAAATGTCGGATCAGCTAATTGAAGATTTTCAGGAATTTGCAACTCTCATTAGGGTGATATCCAGAAATTCTTTTGGTAACGAGAAACTCAAGTGCTGCTTCAAAACTGTTTAACCTTGAACGTATCGTACTTATAGTTTTGTGTTTAATATTTATTGATGCAGCTCCTACACCAACAAGACTGTTTTCACTTCGTGACTTTTTTAGATGAAGTGCATTACACATCGATTCCGATATTAAATTGACCTGCGAGCATGAATCTAATAACACTCTACAGAGTTGAAAAGTACCAGATGCATCTTTAGCTAACACCATTGCTGTTGCCAAAAGCACCACTGATTTTACCCGAGCAGAAGTATCGTCTGGAACTAGTGTACTAGTGTGTACATGACTTAGAGGTGATATTGTTTGCTCACATAAAGGTTCCATATTAGATGATGCACCAGTATTATGTAAAAGTGAATGATGTCGTTTTTTGCACATTCGGCATGAATACGTTGATGGACAATGTGTGCTAATGTGATCTTTCCGGAGACAATTAAAGCATAGTTGGATTTGCTTCGCCTGTTGACATCGATTTTCAATTGATAGAGCTAAAAAATTTGGACAATTAGTAATATAATGACCAGGTTTTAAACAATATACACAATGAATCTGACTTGTAGACTTTTGTTTCGTCATTAAGATGTGCTTGAAAGGTTTACGAACACTAGTACGCTGCAACTCTTGGTTGATTGTAGCCTTTGGCTTGGCCTTTGCTAGTACCATTAATTGTTGATAATTGTTGATAATGTTGCAAGATGCTTGACATCAAGATGCTTGACATCTTGCAACATTCCAGCCAAGTTGGTAGTTTCGTATAGTCGTGACATTCATTCCATTTACGTTTCGTCTCACTATCCGCTTTCGTCATCACCAAATGAATCATGATTGCATCACATATCTGTTCGTGTGATCCCAGTGATTTAAGCGAACTATATAAAGCCGAAATGTTGTCCACTAATTGGCGAAGTTGAGTCGAATCAGGCATAATACATTGTGGTTCATCAAAAAGTGTTACAATGCCTTCCAGAAATATGAGAGGGTCATTGTCGTATCGCTCTTTGAGTCTTTGGAGAGCCTTCGGATAGTTGTCTTCCGTTATCTGGAACGCCTTTACTGTAGCTAACGCTTCCCCTTGAAGACACGATAACAAATGGTTGAATTTTTCAATTGATGTCAAGAGCGAATCACTATCTACAAGGTTTTGAAAAATATGTATAAAATTTTTGAATTCAAGATATTTGCCGTCAAACTTAGGCAACTTTAAATGTGGCAATCTGTTTGACGGCAGCTGCGGTAACGAGAAAGTTTGCTCATGGTAGCTTTGTCTCCCCCGTCCATCAACTAATGACAATATTAAACATTTTGTACTTACGTACAGCTCATCGATGTCAGAGCGCGCTGAATCTATAGGACAATATCGCTCTATCTGATTCTGGTAGTAAGATACCTGCTTATAATATGCATCTAGCATCCCAAGTCTACACTCCAATTCCGTTGACGATAAAGTTTTGTTGTTCTCAACAATATTTTTAATTCGCGTTATTCTGCCTTTTGTAGATGCTCGCTGCTGTTTTAATTCTTCTAACGAAGGCAATGGCGGCAGAGAATTTGACGCTAAAGTCGCATTGTTTTCGGCAGCGCTGCTCGCTGCTGCATTATTAGAATTTTGCATCACCGAAAGCAAATGCAAAACCGAAAATAAAACAAAAAAAAACCAACTAATGTTATGAAGGTTAATAACCTGAATGATTGTCAAGGTTATTGTAAAATTGAACAACTGTTGTTTATTTTTTAAGTTTTAAACAATTACTGATGTAAGAGACTATTAATATCAAGTTTTTAATATTAATTTGAAAGACCTTTAGCCTTTATTTATATCAAGTCTTTAATATAAATTGAATTTAATTTGAAACACTTTTAGTCGTCATTTATATCAAGTCTTTAATATAAATTGAATTTAATTTGAAACACTTTTAGTCGTCATTTATATCAAGTCTTTAATATAAATTGAATTTAATTTGAAACACTTTTAGTCGTCATTTATATCAAGTCTTTAATATAAATTGAATTTAATTTGAAACACTTTTAATAGTTAATTTATCATAAGTCTTTAAAATAAATTTAAGATAATTTCAAACACTTGTTTTTAGGCACACTACGGTCGTGTCCTGTCATGGTCGCCAATGATCGAAAACTATTTAATTTAATAGTTTTTTCTATTCTCTTTGATTTTATATAAATCCAAACGCACCTTTTGCTTGAGTAGTTCACATACCACTGACTTTATTTTTAAAACATATTATTAACAATAGCAAAAAAAGCAAAACAAAAGGAAAGCTGCGGCTATTAAAAGCTTTTTTGTTAGTTGTAAATAAATATTAAATAATTGAACTTAAAATAAGTATACGAGAACCTAATTGACTTAACATACCGGCCCCCATTGAGACCGTCAGGTTCAATTAATTGGTAATACAGCTAGCTTCGTAATTGGTTTGAGTTGTGTAAAACTACTATATTCTTGTGAAAATAGTGTTGTTGAATAATATATACAATATGCAACAGAGCGCGTTGTATTTCATTTATCACGAATAATGATTGAATTTGTGCCTCGTGCTTGTGATGCCATCTTAGCATCAGCGCAACCATACGTAGACATTTGTTATAATTGCTTATCTGATGAAGTCTCTGTTGCAAATACGACAGTTTGATATCTTCCAAAATGCACACTAGTTTGCGAATTTCTAACTTGCGGTCGTCAACTGTTAGTTGATTTATTGAATGTTCTGGCCAGTTTGGCCACGGCAACATTAAGAATGAAGGTCCTTTGAACCAATTTGATTACAGAAATTCTGGGACGGTAGACCCTCTAAAAACGAGATCAGCTGGATTCTGATCGGTTGGTACATGGCATCCAGCATCCAGCAAGAAGATGGGCGGCACACAATTCAAGACGTGGTAATGATCTTGCTTTCACAGGAGCAACTCGGGATTTGGAAGTTAATAAATGAACATTAACATTGCCAAAATTATCTTGACAACGTAGATAGATGCAATATCCGTATGCTCTAATTGATGCGTCGCTGAAGCCATGTACTTGCATGTTAATTGAGTTCTTGATTCGAGTGAACTTAGGAATTTTAAGAAGTACCACTTGATGCAAATCAGCAAGAATTTTGTTCCATGTTGTGTAAATTTCTTAAGGTACGGATTCATCCCAATCACATCCAATTATCCATAGTTGCTGTAACAAAATCTTAGCTTTGATGATAAGTGGAGTAATTAGACCCAAAGGATCATATAAAGATGATGCTAATGACAAAATGTTTCGTTTAGTATGACTTGCTGGTATATTGGTTGATTGAAAAGTGAAGCAAAAATAGTCTTCTTTCGTATTCCATAACATTCCAAGTGGGCATGCCATATCTCTTGCAGTCTCAATATCTGTAAGTTTAACATTTGGTGCAGTGATGTTAACATTGTTACTATTCCACTTTGTTAACGATAAGTTGTAAAAATCCAATATTTCGGTAGTTTCATTTTTGATGGCTTGCAATGTCTCCAAGTCATCTGCTCCTGAGATCATGTCATCGACATAAAAATCCCTTTTTAATATCATTTTACCTGTTTCTTTACGGTAAGGATAGTTATCTGCAATGTAGTGTAAGCACCTAGTTGCAAGAAATTGCGCAGAACTCGTACCATATGTAACAGTATTCAGTTGATAAACTGAAATATTTTGCGATTTATGCTCACGCCACAAAATTAGTTGAAAATTGCGATCACTTCGATGTAGCCAAAATTGTCTATACATTATTGTTATGTCAGCCGTTATTCCATATTGATATAATCGAAATCTTAATAATGTTATTACAAGTTCATTTTGGATTGTAGGGCCCACTACACGTAATTTAGTAGTTGTGCTATCTGGTTTAATTACATAATGATGTGGGATAAAATAGTGGGGAGAATTTAAATCCAAATCCTTAACCATCGACATATGTCCGAGATTTTCATAATCTTGCATAAATTTCACATATTCCAATTTTAACTCAATATTGGAGTCAAGTCTTCTTTCCATAGATAAAAATCTTCTTAATGCATTTTTCTGAGAATTTCCAAAAGTACTTGTGTCGCCTTTGAATGGCAACCTTGTCATAATTCGGCCATCGTTACTGAGAGCTACAGAAAGTTGGTTTCGCATTGCTGTTCTTCTACTGACTATACTGATGGTGGATGAACTGGTTCCTCTATCTGCCACAACCGTTCCAAGTTCGCATTAATTGTATCCAAGCTAACAACACAATGGGATGAAACAATTTTGGAATCTTTAGTAGAACAATATTTTCCTGAAATAATCCAGCCGAACAAAGTTTTTTGTAAAGTCGGTAAATTCTCACCAAGTTTTATTTGGCCTACTGCTAGCAGTGAAAAGAAAGCTTCTGCGCCAAGTAACATATCAATTTTTTGGCGTTTAGAAAATGTCGGATCAGCTAATTGAAGATTTTCAGGAATTTGCAACTCTCATTAGGGTGATATCCAGAAATTCTTTTGGTAACGAGAAACTCAAGTGCTGCTTCAAAACTGTTTAACCTTGAACGTATCGTACTTATAGTTTTGTGTTTAATATTTATTGATG